CTGCGATTTATATTACAATAATATTGAAATATACATAATAGATTTTTTAACAATGAAAAAGAATATCCCGGAACCTAAAAAAGAAAGATGATCAATTAATGACTTAAATTAGTTCAAAATACATTTTGCTAATTACTAATGAATTGGAAAGATAAACATACTATTAAAATTACATTTTAATAGTATGTTATCATCTATTTACTAATAATACATAAGTATATAATAAATAACATGCATAAGGCACTATGATACTACCTGTATCATGAAAACACACTAATATCACAAAAAATATATTATGATAATTTAAATTCCTTTAATGATCTAATGAAACACTATCTAGCCTCAATGCATGCCATTCCAAAGGCAAAAAAACTATTATTCCAAATAAATATAAGCTGAATAAACCATAAACTAAGCCAACGTGCATCAAAAAATACTTTTATCAAATCATACCCTTGGATATATTATGTATTTTATATATCGCACATCCCGTTCAAAAGTTTACTAACTTAAAATAGAGAACATTGTCAAGAGAAATAAAAGAAAATTTAAGTTAAGAAATTATGCTTCTTTTTTGTATATTAATGGCAAAATAAGATAATGTTGATTTAATAAAACTGGCATCCTTCTGAGGTATAAATCAGATTAAAAGGACATTGTTTTTGTAATAACTGTTTGTTTTGTAAACATTTTTTGGATACAATACAGGTTTGATCAGGTTGTGCGATATAAACAAGGATCTTACTATTATTTGAGATTAGAAAGTATTTAAATAATATAAAACATAATCAAAATCATTTTTCACCTTAAATTATAGAGGTACTTAGGTGTTTTGAAATTATTATCAGGAAATAATACGTTTAGTTAAACAGGTACGCTGCCAGGCAAGTTCTATCGACGGGTCTTTGCAAAAGTTGAAATCTAAAAATACAAAAATACGTTAACATCTTAGTTGTATTTATGAATAAAGTATTTGTGTGAAATTTCAAACTTACCAGTTAACTGAATAACCGAATTAAATACATCCAAATGGTAATTTTATATTGTAAAAAAGCAAAATTGTTTTAAAACACTTGCCAGGACAGCCGGCCAGCCATAGATAAATGAAACAAGTTTAGATTGGAAAGCCCGTCAAAATTTTGGGTCGCGAAATTATTACGGGTCGCGACCGTTATACGCGATCTGGCTCTGCTGCAGCGGTTGCTAAGAACAAACACAAACAAAAACAGAAATAATTTTCTCTTGTCAAAGTCAGAATCTTCAAAAATCATAATAATCTTTCAAAATCTAAACCGCTTTCATTAAAGAAATTCCGAAAAGTGTTTATAGCGTCCATTTTCAAAGTAATTATTGCTATCTTGTGAGTTTAATTCAAGTTTTATTTACTCCAACCGGTGATAATTGTGAAAAAGTGGCATTAAAAACTTAAAAAGCTGTGCTGTGAATTGTGAACTGCAGAAACCATCGTGGATCGTGGCATAACGTCGGTTTCCAATGTTTTATAGGTATTTCATATATGTCTTATATAAAATAAAGTTTCTTGTATGCAACACACCGTATTTTATTTATAAAATTAAAAGAAAATAATAATACATTTGAATAAGCAATATTTGGCGATATAATTCCGGAAAAAGCCGAACCGCTCCGAAATTTTCAAAAGCTTTGGGTCGCGACCCATGGTACAAAGAATACAAGGTATGATCGATAGCGGCTCCAATTTCGTTCAGTTGGCGCATACCACCTGTGACGTCACTATGAAAATAATGAATAAATAAAAAATAAAGTAAGTTGACAGGAGATCTGCATTTTTGGGGTTATGGTTAAGAATTGTTTATTTTTAAGACTTTTTAGTTCGTTTAATTTAATAATTACTAAAACCAGCAGTTCCAAAAATATATTTAAAAATAATAATTATCTATTAACATGGATTTGGACGATAGGTAAGAATACTGAATTTATTTCTATATTCGGTATAAAATTGTTTATTAGGTTTTTAGTTTGCGATGTTTATGGTAAATAATTTTCATTTTCATTGCCTCTGAATTCACATGAGGACAGAGTTGAGGATATCTATGGAAAAGTAACCACAAGAGGAATTGTTACATCATTTAAAAAATATTGGGAAGTTTATTGTTTCCCATCGAAAAGTAGAAAATGCCAATGCAGATGAATGTATTGTAATTGTGATAGAAGTAATTCCAAGGGTGAAGTTTATTATAATTAGTGGAAGTAATTCCAAGGGTGAAGTTTATTATAATTAGTGACCTGTGCTTTTCTTTTTATATGTAGATGTTTCTGGTTTTGAGAATAAATCCGTTGAACGACACCCAAAATTTAGAGGAAGTATTTGCATACCCAGAATATGCCCATCAAAGATTATATAGCTCAAATTTCCTTTAATGGTAGGCAATTATTCAATGCAAATTAACTTTTTAAGTGACTGAAATATTAAATAGTTTACAATATGGTATATCATTAAAAATATATTACTTTTAGGTACAATTAGGGCCTGATACATTTCAAAAAGTAGAATATTATTTTATATTAAATGAGGTATTGTACCAACAGTCAATTTATATTAATACCGGAGATGAAAAAATAACAGAATAAATAGTTCTTTTTTTATACTACAAAAATAAACTATAGAATACAACAGTATTTAAAAAAATAAATAAAAAGTTATGTCCCGGCCGAGATTCGAACTCCGGTCTCTCGCTTCCTAGCCCGACTCCTTACGCACTGCTCCACAGTAACTTGCTTAGCGATAATTCAATGACGGTATATAAACAAAAAAAAACAGGTTTATAACAATATCTTGACGATTTGAACTGGCGCGCGGAGCGTGCTGACCAATAGCGCCTGTTATCACCTGTGACGTAGCGACCAACCTGCGCAATATCATACCTTGTATTCTTTGTGCCATGGTCGCGACCGTTGAAAGAATAGCGTCAAATAGTGTTTACATTGCATAGATAAATGCATCAAGTTTAGATTGGAAAGCCCGTAAAAATTTTAGGTCGCGAAATTATTTTGGGTCGCGACCGTTATACGCAATCTGGCGCTACTATAGCGGTCGCTAAGAACAACGGCAAACAAAAACAGAAATAATTTTCTCTTGTCAAAGTCAGAATCTTCAAAAATCATAATATTCTTTCAAAATCTAAACCGCTCTCATTAAAGAAATTCCGAAAAGTGTTTATAGCGTCCATTTTCAAAGTAATAATTGCTATCTTGTGAGTTTAATTCAAGTTTTATTTATTCCAACCGGTGATAATTGTAAAAAAGTGGCATTGAAAACTTAAAAAGCTGTGCTGTGAACTGTGAACTGCAAAAACCATCGTGGATCGTGGCATAACGTCGGTTTCCAATGTTTCATAGGTATTTCATACATGCGTCCTTATATAAAATAAAGTTTCTTGTATGCAACACACTGTCTTTTATTTATAAAATTAAACGAGAATAATAATAAATTTGAATAAACAATATTTGGCGACATAATTCCGGAAAAAGCCGAACCGCTCCGAAATTTTCAAAAGTTTTGGGTCGCGACCGTTGCAAGAATAGCGCCAAATGGTGTTTACATTGTCCTTATGGGCACTTTCCAATCTAAACTTGTTTCGTTTATCTATGTTACATTGTCCTTATGGACACTCTCCAATCTAAACTTGTTTCATTTATCTATGCGGCCAGCTTCCAAGTTGGCAAAATGGCCGCGGTATCATGATTTAAGCAATGTGAGTGACAAAGAAAGCCAATGCCTGGCAGATGTTGTCGTTTACCCTGGCACGTTTAAATTTGACTGTTGCCTGTTTTCCCATACAAGTGACACCCTCGTGAGTTCCAAATAATATAAAAATATTTAAAAGTAATACCTTGTATCTTGTATATATCGAGAAACTATGGTTACGCTCGTTGAATTTGACACTTTATGTCAGTTTAATAATATATTTTCGTACTTTTATGCTTTAGTTTTATGCCTAGGCGTTAAAATTACTTTTATCCAACAGCCACTACTTATACAAACATTACTCACATGTATACCATGCATATAAAATAAATAATAACACACGCATGAGTTTTTGCAGTTATAATAAAGTAGTGTGTTATGAATTCCCAATCATATACGCCACGGGCAGTATTTGTGCTGTAGCCGCCTCTGCCTGGTTAATAACTTTGTGCGGATGATCTTCCTGAATAATTTTTCTTTAAAATCTGACTTGTTGGTTGATAATTCCCTATTTTATCGTTAAAAAATCGCGATTTATCTAAATGACGTCTTAATGTCAGTGATATTTATTATTTACAAAAAAAACGCACATCTATATTGCATAGTAACATAAACACACCCTGATAATTTATTTATTCGCAACAATAAAAGTAGAACTGGTAGATCCTTTTAAATCAATAATTATTCTTTAGAGATTGGACATGAAATAGTTTCGCTGTTGAATAAAATTTTGTATGGCACTCGTATGTTATAACATATAAGTCACTTGAGAAAATTAGCCCCAAAAAATAGAAAATTATGAGTTACATGTTTCCCAGCGTGATTTATATGTAAGATAACACACTAGTACCATAAATAACTATTTAAATGACGACTAGAGATTTACCTCGGCCAAAATTTTTATCGATTGTCATTCCCCAGACGTCTGTGATGTCGTTTTTTTTCGATCATACTGTACTTTATGCACGAGTAATGCATATTCCTCTAATAATTTAATATGTATTTGGAATTTTTACCTAGCATGTATAATTGAAGAGTGGTCAACAGATACTATTCAGGGGCACCAGATTTTAAGCACTTTTTCTTCACCTTTTTATATTTAGTTTATTGTAAAATAACAATTTCATAACATAAAAATTCATCTCCTTATGCTATAATTTTCAAATAAGTTATGATGTTGTTATTTTACATAATATTAACTTTGCAAATTCACGCGCACCTTCCCAGTATTTTTGACTATTTCCAAACTAACACTTTTTCTGTATATTCGCAGGACGGAGAACTATGCTGCAATTTTAACTACCATTGCGGCGACTCTTCACCACAACAGCCCATGGGCTACGATGGCCTGGTTGCGCCGCACAGCGACACGGGCCGCTCTGCTGCTTCTCCGCGCGCCCGAGCTGCTTCTCCGCTCAGTTCGGCCGCTTCTCCGACCAGCATCGGTGTTTCGCGCCGCCCGAGAGACGCTCTCAGTGCTTCGCTCGGCACAACGGTCGCTTCGCGCTACTCCAGCAGCGCTGTCGACTTTAGTCTGGACAAAGGTAGTGGAACTGTGGACGGTAGTACTGTTTGGGGTGCGAGTGTGGTTAAGCGCAAGCAGACTGATCAGGTGCCACCTCCGGGAGGGTGAACCCGTCAAAGAAACGAGCTTGTTAAACGTTTTGTAGCAGGAATTGTTCCGGAGTAACTGGTTTCTGTTGGTCAATTTTGGCGCTTGTTGTTAACTGGGAAAAAGTCTGACTGTATGGTTGCAATATACTGGAATATAATCATTCTTCGTGCTATACGAAATAGCTAAGAAATGAGATGAATGATTCTTTGAACAAATTGAAATAATGAATAGCTTAGTATGTGTATAGTAGTGGATTATTTTGTTTCTTTTTTTATACGTACGCAACGAATAATTTTTGTTTATTATACAGGAAAAAGTAATTTTGCTATTGAGTATAAATATTGTAATATATCATAGTAGTTCCTAAAATATCAATACATTTATTTTGATTTAGTTCTGCTTATGAAAGATGAATAGCCAAGAAACTCAATGGATTTTATATGGATTAGATGTTAGTTAAATATTTAGCAGAAACATTTGACCTTTATATATGCTATCATAAAAAAATGTGAGCAATCTAAAAAAAGACATTACTAGTAACCTATTATCTATTACGATAGTTATATCGTAAAATAATGAACATATGAGCCTTAGTTGTCTAATAATAATTTTAAACAAAACATACATAAACTAAGGAAATCTTATAGTATAATGTTCCGAAATTTTAAAGCTTCTATGTAAACAGGAATACATTACAAACTAATATAATAATGTACGTAGATATTGATAATGTTAATGAAAAATAGTCTATTTAACAATAACGTTTAAGAGTTTTTAAATTAGTTAAAATAAAAATCTATTAAATAAATACAGACAAGATTTTTGCTAGGGAAATTCTGAATTTTAAACTTCACAGTTTATGGTAAGTTTCCAGAAAAAGTGTAATATATATTTTATGTGAATTGTCAATATAAAAATACATTGTTTATTATAATAATTAAGTTATTAGAATCATATTTATTATATTTAGCTCTAGATTATAACATAATTTCGTACAAATTCTTAATAAATCTTTAAAAAATTAGTAATATTTTTAATTATTGACTTTTTCTCACTTGTACTTTATACAGAATAATTATATTAATAACAAATAAATCAAGATTATTGTGCATGTTACAGTGTAAGTCGGAATACTTTAATATGATTTTGATTGCTTTGAATGTCTTGATTGTAAAATTGAATATCTCATGTCAAAATATCAATAAAGTAATTTGCGATAGTACATTACAGACACAGCTGCTAGAAGATTAGACTGGGCGAAAAGCAAAGCGAATTTGTAGTAAAAGTTTGTTTCAAAATTAGTTGTTGAGTTTTTACTGGTTAGCAAATCAGAGAATGTGAGTTTTTACTAGTAAAGCCTCGTTCTGATTCTCGAAATTAGCGAAATAAATTAGTAGTTTCACAAAATACACAATTAAAGTTAATATAATATCCTAGCAACAACTTGATGTGGTCAGTTGTATCCATAGAGAAGCTATAATATCATATGTATAGCTTAAAAAACAAACTTTGTATTTCTAACCACAGATTCTCATGACGGATAATAATCAAGGGTCAAAATAACATGACCCGCAAATTTTGAAGTATAATTAATTACTGGAAAAAGTAAAATAAGACACTAAATCACCACAATACACCCAAACACTTTTACTTTTACACTGGACGCGATGATTATAAACTGAAATCCAGTTTCTAATCATCTGCTGATGATGCTAACATGGTTAGCGAAACGCGCGTCCAGTGTAAAAGTAAAAGTGTTTTGGTATATTGTGGTGATTTACTGTTTTATTTTGCTTTGTAACACCAAAAGTTCCAATCCTCAACTGTAATGGAAAAAGTAAAATATTTGTTAACTTTTTCTACAGCTTCATTGAGAACCTCTCAGAAATTAGTGGTTTCAATTAGCGTAAAAGTTTGTCCCTCTAATTTTAATGTAAGCATCCAGAACGTCAAAATTAGTGGTAGTTATTTGCAAGTGGAAAAATTAATGGACAGTTAAGCTTCATTCAGAACCTCGCAATTAGTGGAATAAATTACTGGTTTCAATTACACTTTATGCTTTTTAGTTTACGTTTATAATGTTTATAAAAACACAATTAAAATTAATAGAATATCCTAGCAACATATTGCGTTAGTCAGCTGTATCCATAGAAAAAGCCTAATATTTAGCTTATAAAACAATCAACTTTTGATTTTTAACTGCAATTTTTCTTGACGGAAGATAATCAAAGGTCAAAATGTAATTTCTCGCAAATTTTGAAGTATAATTAGTGGGAAAGTTAAAAGTTTGATAACTTTTTCTACTAATTAAAAATGCTTACCACTAATTTTAACCTTCTGAATGCTTGCATTGAAATTAAAGGAACAAACTTCTACGCCAATTAAAACCACTAATTTATTCCACTAATTGCAAGGTTCTGAATGAAGCCTTAAGCCTCATTCAGTACCTCAAAATTAGTGGAGTAAATTAGTGGTTTCAATTTATACTCAAAAATTTACGATCATCAATAGAGAAAGCCTAATAATTAGCTTAAAAACAATAAACTTCTCATTTCTAAACACAATTTCTCTTGACGGATAATAATGGAAGGCTAAAATTATATTATTCACAAATATTGAAGTATAATTAGTGGCAAAAGTTAAATTTTTGTTAATTTTTTCTACTAATTGAAAATCACTACCACTAATTTTGAGGTTCTGAATGCTTATACTGAAATTAGTTGTAAAAACGTCTACGCTAATTGAAACCACTAATTTATTCCACTAATTTTGAGGTTCTAAATGAGGCTTACTAATTGAAAATTACTATCACTCATTTTGACGTTCTAAAAGCTTATATTGAAATTAGAGGAACAAACTTCTACGATAACTGAAACCACTAATTTCGAATTTCTGAATGAACCTTAATTATTAATATTCACTGATTTCTGGCTTTTACTGTAACATTTTTACAATGTATAATATATGATAATTATAATAAAATAAAGACTATTACTTAGGACAAGTTAATAAGTTTTTGTTAAGTAGACTACGAAGATTAAGCCTAATCCTAAAAAAAATAAATGTGTTCTAAAAATCCCGTTGGATTCGCCTTTGATTTCAAGCACTTAATGCTCGTCCTTGCTTATGACCTTGACAATATGTGTTTTTAGTCAGTACTACCAATAGAATACCAGTTTCCCGGAATGACTCTGAATAGAAGTAGTTTAAGTAATTTAAAACAATAACAAGAAAAAACACTTTCCGCTAGAGATTTTTCCGAATTTAATGAAAAAATATGTTTTGTGCGATATGACACACACTTTGCTATTCATTATCTATAATGACGTTTGCAAATATAGTATTAATGTTTCTGTAAATTCGGAAAAATGTTTAGCACAGTTTTAGACCTATAGGTCATTAATATTAGGTGATTTTTTTAGGTTTCAGTGAAAAAAAAACACCTTGTTAATATGTTTAATCGAGGAAAAATAGAAAATACAGCTAGATTATTTCCATAGTGTTGGAGAATATCGAAAAAGTGCCATTTGGCACCTGTACTTAAACGTAATATCAAAAGTTATCAAAATATTAACTGTTAAATATCATTGCTTGGTAATGTTTTAATTTAATTTTAATGTTAAAGTCCTTATAAAATTATTTCAAATTTAAATGTTTCAAGTTATCTATACACTTTAGCAAAAAGTTAGTTTTTAGGAAAGTATTAGAACTAAATAGGTAGACTGGATGTTTCTAAAATATTTTTCAGATTATTTTAACTCTAGATTTTACGTATTATGAATTAAAGTCAATATTTACATCTTTCAGATTTTTAAAATATATATTTTATGTAGTTTTTCTTCTTCTAATAATTCCACAGAGGCTCAACTTTTTTGTACTGTAGTAAAATTAAACAAATCTGATTAAAATCAATAGCTAAAAAACAGATTTTGCACCCTGACTGAACGTGTATGTGCCCTTTCAGTTCATTTTTGACAGTCCGTAAACAATATTCAGTCTATTTTGGTTTGAGTTAATACTCAAACCAAAATATGGAACTTAAATTAACAATGTTTATGTCAACTTATCGAATTATAAGTGTATGTGCAGCAAAAGGATACATTTTTTTCTTTATTGTACCGGGTGGCCAACTAAGAATGGACGCCGGCTGTATCTCAGAAACTACTTATCGTATAACTTTGGGGAAAAAAAAATCTAATAAGTAAATCGATCAAGAGAAATCGTTGGAAATTATTTTAAGTTCGAAAATGTCCGCTAGGGGCGTTTTCGATAGCTAATCAGAAAACAGGGTTTTTCTCCAAAAAAATGCAGTGAACAGGTATTTTAAATATTACTACCAATAATCGAGAAATTTGTAATTTTTCTGATATAGAGTGTTTTGCTCTATCTCATAAAATAAAGTGGTGGGGGAAGGTTAATCTTGCTTTATTAAAATAAGGATAACTCTGGTTTAGGTTAATTAAATTTATTTAAAATAAACTAGGGCTCGTTTAAAAGAGCTCTTCTTCCTTAATGATATTCAGTAAATTTTAAGCTTCCATAATTTTTTCGTGGTAGCTAGACGGCGCTGTTTGACATCATAACAGATTTTGCGCTTTTCCATAAGAAATTTAAATAGGAGGCTATATTTATCTTTGCACAGTTAAATAGCATACAAACTTTCCAAAATATCAGCAAACTGCAACTTTCTATCTTATCTCTAACCGGAGATATTAAGAACAAATCATGTTAGGCTACCTAGGGATTATATGATCTAAAAATTCGAGTAAAGTTAGGTAAATTGTTGATGTCAAAATATCAAACATATGTTAATTTCATTTAATACCATTTAATTGTTTTTTATCCATGTTCGTTCTTGATTCAACCCCATAAATAAAAACCCAGGCATATTGAATCTGATGACCTGGCTGGTCATGGAAATATGCCGCTCAACGTCTCTATCTACTAAAGTAAATCCCAAGAAAAAACTATACTAAAGTAAAGTATCCAAGAAGCCCCACACATTCATAGCAGAAAAAGCGACCAAGCTGCACCAACTGCATCATTTACACCAACTGCGTTTATGCTGATCAAATTGCAACAAATGCAATTTCATTATGATGAGTCTCTAA